CGACCCGTGGGTGCCTACGACGGAAGCCCGCAAGCCAATCTTTCCCCGGACCCTTCTCTGGATCCCAAGGGATCCGCCGACCGTCGTTGCAGAGTCGTCGCACCGCATCTCTGAGGTGAACCCGACCCACAGCCAAGAAGTTGCGAGCAGCAAACAGCAGAATATCTTCCAGCGAATCCTCCTCTTCTTTGCTCAGGATGGTCTCGGCACCAACCTTCGCGTTCATGGCCACCTTGCCACGGCGGCGGTCTTCGATGGACGTACGACCTACCCCAAAGACCCCAGCAGCCTTCCTAACCGACATTCCATCATCTATCGCTACACAGGCCTTCCGAACCTGCTCCTCGTCCACCTTGCGCCGGGTCATGCTTAGCAAAAATCCCAAGGAAACGACTAAGGTGGCTAGTAGCGGGAGCGGTGGGGGCTTCCTCGGCTGTATCTCGGGGTGGAATGCTCGGCGTGCCACGCTGTGGTGCTCAAACGAGAGCTACGGTTTCGCGGAGCAATTCAAAAAAAGAACCAAGGGGCTCCGTGGATTCTGTGGGGAGATACCCGCCTTTAAAAAAAAGTGGCCTTAAATACCCGGGTGGCCTTTAATACCCGCCGCTACTCTAGCCCCCCAATCGCATACTGGGGTTTCTGATGCGACTTCATGTAGCAAAAACCTACTGAAGAGATCTTGACTACATATTATTGGTGATGATGTGATGTGATGTGATGTTAGGCTCGTCATTAACGCAATGGACAAGTCGTGCAATTTTCCACGGAACGGTCAAAGGAAAACGCGACGTATTTTCGCTTAGTCTATTCGTGATGTCATCTCAAAAACAAGTACATTTCCTTCCCTGAATACGCACACGCGGTGCTTGGCACACAACAAGTTGACTTGGTGTTGTTCACCATGGAGCAGCGGTAAAAGCGCAATGAGCAGCACCCGACACAGAGGACAGCACACTTCAAAAGATCCTATCCACCCGGCCTGCTGTTTTCAGTTTTCTGTAACGACAGGGGAGGGCAGAGTCTCGAAACCTAGGTGTTGCTTCCGATTACTTCAGTTTGTCAGCTCATTTTTCACGGTTGTGACTCCCAGCTTTTGACCATCCTATAGCATGTCGAAGTCCGCCGACGGCCTGGCGAGGATGATGACCATTATCGTGGAGG